CTTCGTTTTCATCATCATCTTCTTCTATATTGATTTCGCTAGCATTATCTTCTTCGTTTTCATCAATCTCAGAAACCCTAGGTTTCAAATTCAATTTTTTTTGTTTGTAAAACTTGTTAGGGTCTATGATTAATGTGGGTTTAGCCAAAATAGGTTAGTTCATCACCTTAATCAGTGAAATCAACTATTAATCTAGGGTTAGTAGGAATTTCTTGTTCTAGGGTTAGGTTTTTGGGGATTTTGTTCAATTTTTGTTTTAGGTTGAACTGATTCATGTTATTTAAGTTTATTCATATTGTTTTAGGTTGAACTGATTCTACTAAACTAACTTAATTATATCTTTTCAGGATTTTTATCTTGTTCTTTTGTGACCATTTTAGTTTTGTTGAGGTCACATTCATTAAGTTAACTGATTGACTCTTTCCTCATTTTGTTTGATTTCTATTGTGAGGTTACTCTATTTGTGTCTATGCTTATCGGTAACCGGTAAGAGGTGATTCTTGCGAAAGTCGCCTATTAACCTTAACTGGTAGAGTGTGGTCTGATATGATGCAAGACTCTGTGTTATCACATGTGTCAATCATTTTGTGGCATTTCAATCTCCAAGCTTTTGGTAACGGTTGAAGTATGCAAAAGTGAAAAAAACTTCCACAGTTCTAGCTTATGTGAATACTATGTTTATCCAATCTATCTACATCTTATGTTTGGATTAGTTTGCATATTCTTATGCACTTTATTGCATTTGAAGTAGTTATATGATCACTAACATAAAATCAACCTTAGCTCAGTTGGAAGAGCGGAGGAATGTTCCTCTAAGGTCGCTGGTTCGATTCCGACAGGTTGAATTATCAATAACTAGATTATCTTTTGTCTTTGCATATTAGTAGAATTTTTTTTTTGTTTTTTTTTCGTCGATTAGTATTAGTAGATTACATATTTGTATCAAGTTTAGACTATAGCAAAGCATTTCCAAGTCTTCTAAACTGGAAGGACGTTAGGTTATTGCTGTTTAAAGATTTTGGTTATCTTTCACTCTTTGGAAGGAATTCACATTCTTTGGGACAATATCTAGCTATTATCATTCCTCCAGAACAAATCTCCAGCTTTTCTTTCAGAAAAGATGTAAGAATGCCAAACTTTAGAACTATGCGTTAAGTGTATGCTCTTTCGCATTTTACCTATGTAGTTGAAATCAAGGATAGAAAAATTGAAGGAATCTTTTGGTGTTTTTAGTGTTTTACCAATGTAGCAATAAATAATAATCATGTGTGCCTAGTTTGCTCATGTTCACGGACATTTTTTATACATCCAGAATAAGCTACCCACGACCTGGGCTCATAATCTCAAGAATTCTTTGGCAAGGACACTTTTTTTCTTATATACAGTCATTGACACCTTAAGAATTGTCTAATGCACTATCCCGTCAAGCACCGACACATATGTAACAGCCTGGTAGTATGGTTTCTTGAGGTATGCAATCCAAATACACAAAACAGTATACTGTATCTTGTTTAGTTTTTGCTCTAGTTTTATGAGGGTCGTCAATTCCAGTTTGTTTTCCCAAAAGAGTAATTGGACTTTTCAGTGAAAAGAATTTGAACATATAAGTTTATTTGTAAATGTAAAGGGCCAGGTGAAGTCAGTCAGATCAGCTGCACCTGAGAGCACCCAACATCAATGTTTTGGTATTTGCACTAGGATATCTAAAGAGAGGGAACAGGATCATCTCAATTGTAAATAGTTCACCTCTCATAGTATTATTGTATACGTTCATCTGAACGTAACAAAGATTTAAATTGCATACCAGAACATCTAAAGAGAGGGAGACCTTACTTGTGTTGATAGCACTAATAGGTATTAAGCGATCTTTTGAAACTGTTGCCTTTATCATGAATCAACCTTTAGATAGAAACTTAAGCCATTTTGAAACATTTGAACAGAAAAATTGAAAAATACACAAAGGGTGGAAGGGAGAGTTTCCATTATGTCCATTAAGTTACAAATTTCCAATGCTGCAAAAGATCCATTCATAAACACCTACCTCAAATTTGGTCCCTTGTTTGCTAAGCTTTTAACAAGCATCAGGAAACTCATTCCTATTGCCTCACCCTCAGTGCTGAGTATTTATCTTGTCTGTGATGAGGAACTCAGTATTTATCTGATCCTATGGTTTGTCATTTGTTTGTTGTATATTACAACTAGGATTACCCAAATTTTCTTACGCTCCATGTTTGACTGCAGATAGGTCACATTACCACTTTTTTTTTTTTCGACAGTTAAGTGATCTTTATAACAACGATTCAATTTTTGACAAATTTGAGTGCTGCTTTAGTGGGGATGGGCTCGTCAGGTACGTTAGATTTCATTAAGTTCTATAACCAATTACTATGACCCTTCTCACACATCTTTTTGTAGGATTTTTAGATTTATGTGAATTTTAGGGGGGACTAAGAGCTGCTGGTTGACGTGCTGATGTGCTTCTCTTCTAACATCAATTCTTAACATTGGTCAGTATTGCAACAACTATATATATGTTACTTTAGCCTCATTAACTATACTTTTGGCATGTACATGTTCATATACTTCATGATCAGCACCAATACACTGCGAGCTTCAGTAATACTTCTCACTTCCATAAATATGTGGACTATATTTGTCTCTTGCATCTTTAAATAATAAGTTCACTTTAGTAGATCAAGTTTTTGAATGGCTTGAGTTTATCAAATGAAAAGATCGGGTACGAGTTCATGAGCATTTCCTTATCCTGTATATGAACCTGGCAAGCTGCTAATTTTCAACTAGTTTATTTGCATATACAAGTTGGACCACCAATCAAGAATGAGACTAATTTTTTTTTTCATTGTTATTTGTATACAGTCCAATTATCAATGCAGTCATTGATGGAGATGACATCAATGGTATAGCCAATCTTATTCCTAAGGCAGCAAGAAAGGTTGATGAAGGTAAACAATATTTTAGCATATTTACTTTTCTAGTATAAATCTCTATAAAAGAGCTGCACTGAGCTATGCCTAGAACATAATCAATTTTGAGTCCATTTCAGATAATTATGTGTATTACAAAATCTTATCTTCTAAGGTAGCTCAGTGCAAAACTTTAAAGGGCAGCTTCACAACATTTGACATCAATGTATACTTTTTATATATGTCAATATACCATACTAATTGATTTTCAATTGATATATAATCAGGCACATCCAAACTTATAGACGAGATTGAGAGGGAAAAAGTTTGCAGTGTAATGGATGCGCTCAAGCTTTCTTATGAAGCAAGGGTGCATGCTTCTCAAAATAAAAGATTACCAATACAAATTGTCCTGCACGCTCTCTACTACGATCAACTGAAATTAAGGAGCGGGGATGATGATAGAAGCATGCTTGATGCAGCAACAACCAGGAGCCAACTACCAGGTGATCAACTGCGAGAACGAGAACTACGACCCATTGGAGGAAGAAGTCGGGGATCAGATTGATGATCCTATAGTTGTCTGAAGGTGATAGTCTTTTTGTTGGAGGAAACTGATGCTAATTTTTCTTGTCTTTTTGTTGGAGGAAACTAGTGTTTTGTTGATGTATATATGGTGTTAGACTGATGTGTAGTGGTTTATGTTTTAAAACTGATGTAGTGGTTCAGTGGTTGTATATGGTGTGGTGGTGTGGTGTAAAAGTTTAACTTTATTATTATTGGGAAGTCTAACTTATGTTATATATATACTATGAAGTTAATTTTGTACTTTGGTTAAAAATGTTTTGGTAATACAATGCTTGACTTATAATTTATTGGATCAATACTATGATAAATGAATAATTACTAGAAAATGTTATACTTTGTGTTGGATTTTCTACTTATGTTGGATCAATACTATGAATACTTATTCAAGGCAAAATGAAAAAAACTACAAAAAGTGTTTCGTAAACTTGCTAACGTTTGTGTTTGTACTACACAAAAATGAATGATAGGTTAAGCTTTTTTAAAAAAATTAAAAAATTATTTCTGAATACATTCACGATTGTTTATGTTAGTACATTCACAAAAATA